GCTACCTCACACTGGACATGCCTTCATTTAGTTTTGACAGCACTGCTCACCATTTGGACCCCAGTCCATGGATATGATTCACAGCTCTTTCTTTTCTGGCAGAAGTTTATATCTAAGTTTGTACTTCTTTTTGTACACTATCTTCATTCTTCAAAAATACAATATGGTGCTGAACCACAATTAAAAGAGTTGAAACAGCAGGTGCTACAGTTGTTCCAAATGAAAAGTTCAACATGAAAAGTTCAGCAGAAAAGGAACCAAATCAAGTAGCCTCTGCGTCTGTTAATCTTTGCTCTAACAGGAGGCACTGAACAGCTCAGCTACATACTTTGGTTTACATAATTAGGAATTCATCAGTAGACAAATTTATCTTGCAACTTTTAATAATTTCTTTGATTGCATCTTGTGAAGTTCATCTATGCATCTAGATTATCCTAACAACCTCACTATTAGAGTCCACAAGACCTCATTGGGAATAATGAAATCATTGGTACAAAAGCCTTGGCCAACCTCCACAAATTATAGCAAGGATTACTATCAGGAAAAAAAAGTGTTCAAGCAAGACACTACAAACTGTATTTTATTAGTAGAGGATTTGGGGGAAACATGTAGGCAGTGTGGATAGAAGCGTCTCTGTTAAAAATTGCTACATATTTTTATTCCCAATAGTAAGCATACATGTTTTCTTCTTATAGAATGGGCAGAACAGAGTTCATTTTTACACTATGTATTTTCAAGAAAAAAAATGTTCAGTACATTTTTTTCAGTTCAGTACTATTTTCAAACTGAAAAATTCTGTCGAAGCTGCTGAAAAGGGAAAGGAATGCAAGTGAAGTATGACAAATAAATGGGATTTTAAAACAAAAGGCAGTTGTAGCATTTGACCAAGATGACCATATGCTTTTCACCAATGTACCTTGGTCTTGAAATGCAAGAATCATAGAATCATTTAGGTGGAAAAGGCCTTTAAGATTGAGTCCAACCATTAACCTAACATTGATAGTTCACTCACTAAATCATGTCACTAAGCACCACATCTATACATCTTTTTAATACCTTCAGGGATGGTGACTCCACTACTTCCCTTGGACAGCCTGTTCCAATGCCTGGCAACTCTTTTGGTGGATAAAGTTTTTCCTAATATCCAATCCAAACCTCCCCTGGCACAATCTGAGGCCATTTCCTCTTGTGCTTAGTAGTTAGTACTTGGGAAAAGAGAGCAAGCCCCACCTCACCACAGCCTCCTCTTCTCCAGGCTAAACAGCCTCAGTTCCCTCATCCGATATTGGTAACATTTGTTACCTAATGAACTTCCTCAAATCCATTCTGTACTTTAATTAAGATTCCAGCAGCACAGTAAGAATATAAAATACAAAACCACAAAGAACAAAACTTTCTTTTTCATTTTTTTTAATAGTCGAATTAACTAAATGCACTGTCATTCACATCCCATGGACCTTAGCTTTTCCTTTTGTGCAACACAGGAACACAGATAAGCTGTCAGAGCAACACATTTCAGATCCCCACCCTGCTTATAAGTAAACCATCAATTAATATTATGTGAGCAAACCAGCTTAACCTTTAGTCAAGATAAATATTTAGCAGCATAGTGCCACAGGAAAACAGAGGCATCAGTACACATTTTCTGTAAAATGTGCTAAAAGCTACTCACTACAGATAGCTACAGCTCCTGAATATAAGGAGACATACTGAGCACTAAGCAATTTCTCTTATTATTATTAAAAAGATCTTTGCCTTTTCCTAAAAGGAAAAAAAAAAAAGTGATGAATAAGAAATTAAAGTGCTGCAGCCAGATCATTTTTAGTGTTTAGTTGTTCATTAATTATTTTTTTTAACAATATACCTAAAGATATAAAGATATTTGTACACCATAAACTATGCAAGCATCTAAACACCTAGAGTAGATAGGAGGAAAATACAGGAATCAGAGAACACTAAAACAGATTCAGATGGCTGGATGATTTAGATAGCAAGATTTAAAAACTGCCACAGGAATGTGACAGGGTTTAGAAACACCTTGATATGTAACACTAAGTTTCTAAAAGTCTCTTCAGAATATGCTTCAAGTAGTCCTATTGAACTTTTATTGTCCACTAACTCCACTTCAGAATTGAGAAGTAAATCATTCCCTTATCCTTTCTCCAAAAAACTTCATCACTGAGTGTTCATCAAAACATCTGGGATGAAATGTCAAATAATAGTATGATAATAAAAACAAAAGGGGAAGCCTCAATCTTCCTGTAAAACACTAAAGAAAGAGGTAAACACTAAAGAAATGATTAAACAATTTGAGAATCAAGTAACGCCCATCCCAACCTCATGAAATTCAACAAGGCCAAGTGCAGGGTCCTGCATCTGGGTCGGGCCAATCCCAGGCACCAATACAGGCTGGGCAGGGACTGGCTGGAGAGCAGCCCTGTGAAAAGGATGAGAAGCTCAACATGAGCCGGCAGTGTGCACTTGCAGCCCAGAAAGCCAACCAGATCCTGGGCTGCATCAAGAGAAGTGTGGCCAGCAGGTGGAGGGAGGTGATTCTCCCCCTCTACTCTGCTCTGGTGAGACCCCACCTGGAGTA